TTTCAACAACAACAAAAACTACAGAAAACCTACAATCTCATGGAAACTGGATGATGCTCAAAAGAATCATCAACGTGTTAAGGAAGAAATAAAGAAAATAAAGACTTCATAGAGATCAATGAAAATGAAGACACAACATACCCAAACTTATGGGACATTATGAAAGCAGTTCTAAGAAGGAAATTCATAGCACTAAATGCCCACATAAAGAAGTTGGAGAAATCTCACACTAGTGACTTAACAGCACACCTGAAAGCTCTAGAACAAGAAGCAAAATTTCCCAGGCAGAATAGACACCAAGAAATAATCAAATTGGAGCCAAGTGTGAAATCCAAGAGAGATAGAGAAGAAAAGCAGGGTGAGGGCAGGTGCTGTGTGCCACAGTCAAGAGAAGCAACACGTGAGAGAACAGGTAGTGCCCCAAAGCCATGTGACAACATATAGATAAATAGGAATGGGTTGAGTTAAGTTGAAAGAGCTGGCTAATATAAGCTAAGGCCATATGCCATAAGATTGTAATTAAAATAAGCCTGAGTGGCTACATTATAAGTGGCTGTAGGACCATGGGTGGGAGAAATTCATCCCAACTGCAGGGCCAGAGAGAGCTTCCAGCTACAAGTTCTACTTGCACAATGCAATATGAAGCATACAACTTTAGATCTTTTCTGATTTACTGATTCCACTTCCAAAGTCTCTTTATCTGGGACATGTGCTATAGGGAGGCAGCCAATACCTGACATGTGCCTGTGTGATTCCATATGTTTCTATTCAATTATCATCTCACCTGTGAAGACCACAAGTATACAGTTATGTGGAGCATACTGTAGGGACCAGCTGACCTGTGCAAGAGTACCTGAATGGGGGAGTGAACATTAAGAAAGAAAGAAAAAGACAAACGACAGAAGATAGAATCACAAGGGCTCTCAGTGAATAGTGCAGCAACCCTGAATTAATTTATTATAGCTTTTTTATACCCAAAACAAGGCAGGGGGAGACATTCTTACTTTGGTTCAAGGAACAAACAAGGATAAACACCTCCTTAATTATCAAAACATTAAGTAACCTTTGACCAAACACATCTGTTACTTGGCCTTGACAAGCAAGACATCTAGTAACCAGTCCTTTGGCCAAACATCCTGTTATTCAGCCTTAAAAAGCAAAGCCAAACTTGAACTCTCTGAACAGAAGTCAAGATAGAATCAAAACACAAGCTGAAGTTCCTGTGGGGGTCTCACAATTCCCCCCTTTATTTTCTAAGGCTGCCCTGAACCCCTCAGATGACTGTGCCTCTACTAGGTTGCCTTTTTCAACTAACCAGTCTTACTCATTTTAGTCTCATGAATTCCATCATGCATTCACTGGTTAGGTTGAAAAACAGTAAAAAGGACTTATCTGTCCTTAACTACCATCCTCTGGAAAATTTCAAGGGAGGATACAGAGCTTAACTCCATGTAGCTCTGAACCAACTTTCCATCAAGAGTTCACAAATAACTTGATAAATATAGGCAAGATAATAATACCTAGCAATATACATGTTCCTATGGCTGCAATACACTCTAATAAGGAAGTAAAAGATGACCAAATGGAATGACATTTTTAAATTGGTCAAGGATGTCTTTCACAGTTTTAGCTGCATCAAAATCCAATATTGCCTTTTTAACCACAACAAATTTAAGGACTCAATAGCATCACACCAAATTCCTCTCAGGTGAGCTGTAACCTTTTTCCAACCAGTAATACTTTCATTGTGAAAAGAAGAAGTTACAAACAGTAATGGTTTAACACCATAATTCCTGTATGATTATTAAAAATGGACACACAAATGGTTAATTACAATTCTCATAATTTACATTACAAAGAGGGTGTGTTAACACAAGCCAATACTGATCTATTCAAGAGACAAGAAAATATGGGGTTTTTTTTGGTGGGTGTGGTAGGAGTAACTCCAAAATTCTGAATGTTTTATTATCCCTTTTCTAAAATCCAATGCATCAGTGCCTCCAGCTTCCAAAGATAATTTTGAGCTGTTCCTGTTCCTGAGTACCAAATATCAGCAGCAAAACTTTCATCTCACCCCTTCTCATCATTTTGGAGGACCACTTCAATACCTCCTAATTTGGTTTCCTGACCAGTCTAGCACATATCTCCGAAGTCCAGTAATACTATACTGAAGAAGGGCTTCAGTCACACATTGCTTTCATAATAGTGTTGGATTGTGCCAACAAGTCTCTTTCCTACAGAGGGAAATCTCTGAGGCGCTTCTTTTCAGACCTTCTATTTACTTTTATCAACAAAAGATAAACACTATAATGGCAAAAGTGCCCTCCTTGTCCCAAGATATATTGTGCATAAATGGCCAAACAGCCAGTCACAGGATTATTTTGGAAAAACAGGCATTTCTCCGCTGGACCTAGAATAATTAAAACTCACAGAGGTCTGGAAAATTGTGTAGCGTGTCTGTCAAGAAGCTGAGAATCATTAAATATAACCATAATCTCCTTCCTTTTCCAGACAAGAGGATGAAATATTGGGGGATCAAGAACATGGGTTCAGTAAATCTCACTCCAACCCCCCTGGGAAAGCATCAGCAACCACATTATCATCTGGACTGGGACTCCACTCTTCTGTACCACACCAAATGCTGAGGCAGCCATTTAGCTTCATTTTCTTCATGTGAAAAAACAAACATGCCCTTGACCCCATATCAAAAGAGGGTTGTGGCCCTTCCATAATCCAGTGCAAAATCCTTCCATTTCACCTGAGCAAAAGTTGTTCAAGTGCCATCATGACAAAATCTATATGTGGCAGATTGCTCATGGGCATCCAATTTCAAAATATTTAAAATAAAAGGGAATAATTGAATGCATTATATGGTGACTGAAGATATGAGTCCCCCTTTTTTATTTTTTTGAAAATGGATCTTGAGACTGCCATGGGCTCATTCAACAATACCTTGTCATTTAGGATTAAAAGGAATGATTGTTTTATGCTCAGTTTTCCATTGGGAAAAAAATTGTTGAAATGCTTTACTAATATATCCCAAACCATTATCTGTTTTTATAGATTTATGAATCCCCATATATGAAAAACATTTTAAGCAATGAGCTATCACATGTTTAGTAGCTTCTACAATTTGCCCAATAGCCATCATAAACCTAGATAGTTATTGACTGTCAAATGCACCTATTTTGATTTGCGACATTCTGCAACATGAGTAACACCCATTTGCCATAAATGATTGGGAAGACAGTCTCAAGGATTTACCCTTAAGGAAGACACAGGCAAATACTGTGGAAACATCACATTGTTTAACAATCTGACTAGCAACTTCCCTGGTAAGGCCTAATTGTTTCCTTAAACTTCTACTATTCTGATAATGAAGGGCAGGTTACTGTTGAGACAATTCTACCTGGGACAAGGTGGCCATCTGTGTTAAATTATCAGCAAGAGGGGCAAGAAGATTGTAATGACCCTAATATGAACCACAAAGCATGACAACTTTCTTTGATAAACGGCATCTTGAATTTGCTGAAATAGCAACCTAACACGACCATTAGTAGTCCTAATGTAGGAAACAGTCTCTATAAATTGAAGGACTCAAAAATATAATGACTCTCAGTATACAAATTAAATGAGCTATTTACAAAAAAATCTGGAAAAACATAGCCACAGCTCAAAATTCTGCTACCTGGCTGAAGCTGGAGCTGTTTGTACTGAATAACCTTTGCCATTAATGACATAAGCAACTCTTCCATTGAAGTAACCATCAGTAAAAACTAGCATAGCATTTTTTATGGTATCTTTTATCACAACTTTAGGAAATATAAATGAATGCATTTGGGCAAATTGAAGCAATCAATCAGCAGGAAAATTATTATCAATTTGGACACAAAATTGAGCAAAAGAAACTATGCAAAAATCATTATTTTAAAATAAACAATCATCTTGTTGTTTAGTAAAAGGAATGTTGATCACACTTGGTTCTTTACCAAAATATCACTTAGAATCTTTGCAGATTTTCAGTGTTAAACAAGCTGATGCTTCATAATAAGAGTTCAACAATCATGCTGGTGCAACAGCTAGATTCAAACACAATAACAGCCCATTTTGCAATAACACAGCTGTTGGAGTATGTCTTGTAGGAAGCACATACATTCCCCATGACTTTGCGTAGTCAGCATAGCATACTTGCTGATGTTGAATGGCATGCTCCACCTGAGCTTGTACTTGTCTGTAGCGGTAACGCCCGCGTTACCGCTAACCGTTCACCACGTCCAAGCGAAGGGCTGCGGATTAAAAAATAGAGACAAGAGACAGCGAGTCATTCGTACGTTTGGATGTCGAATGCCCTTTATTGAAAGAGGGGAGAAACCTTAAATACGTACAGGCTTACAGCACAAATGGAGGAACCCCTGGAGGGCAGAAGTTCGAGGTCAATGGTCTACATTCCAGACTCAATGTTAGCATCTAAGTAGTTAACGCCCAAAGTGCAGGATATACAACAAGGAACTTCCCTCAAGCATTCAGAAGGGTGGATACCGGCAGGGAATCCGAATAGGGAGGACACAAGGAACTTCCCTTAAGCATTCAGAAGGGTGGATACCGGCAGGGAATCCGAATAGGGAGGAATTCTGATCAAGGTCAAGCAAGCAAGGCCGCAGCCACTCCCAGTCGGGGGCCAGGGCCCATGGCGCCCACAC